ATGTTACACGTTGTACATTGTTTTAATAAATTGAAAAAACGACATTCCAAATACATAACGTTTTAGGGTTCAGAGGGCAACATTTAAAGATTATTCTAACAAACATTAAACGCTGCCTTCGACGAGCTTATCGAATGATGAATGTTTCGATGGCATTTGAAACTGTAATATGACATTTTTGCGCTCAAGCATGAAATCATTGGTGTTACGGTGACGAGTGTGTTGCGCTGTAACATATTCTCAAGCTATATTTGCCTTCATTTACTGCAAATAAAACTATGAATAAAATGGCGTAGGTGGCGGACCTACGCACATTGCGTGACTATTTTCCGCGTGATTACATAGTAATATTTATGCAACATTGCAATTATGCAAATCGCAATGCGATGCGTTTAATACGTTATTATCGCTCTAATTTGGTTGATATTCCGCAATGTTCATGTTTACAATATTGTATAAAAAATAGTAGGATTATTGGTATAAGTTTTATTAAATAAAGACATGATATTTATCCGATAAACGTTGGAAGTTTTACAAAAATTAGAAAAATATAATTTGCTAACTGTAATCATTGTTTCTATTTAGAAAACTATATCCAGCAGCATTATCGTAAAACACATTAAGTCAAGTTTATCTCGAGAGGACCGCCCGAGATTAATCCTTTAACTTCAAACTTAATCTTTTACGTATATCAAGCGCTTAGGAATGTCAAACTGTCAACCACAATTCCTGAGTCATGGTGCAGGAATATTTAAATACATTGTGCGCACCTCAATTTGTCAAAATTTGATAGCTTTATTTATTAAGGCGTTATTTCGTGTGTATGATAAATTGTTTTTATCTCTTTTATAATGGATTTATGCGAAATAATGGTTAAAACTAATGATTAATGCACACTTTCAGAATGTTTTTAGAAGATAGCCGAGAACCGATCCATTTAACTAATTTTGGCATTGTAATTTTTCGAGATTTTGTTTACTTTTTAGTATTTTGAGAAAGTCATATGTTAGGACATTTTTTGGCCCTGATATGTGCTTATTTTGGGATTATTACTTTTCGGGACATTGTTTTATTTTTTTAATTTCAGTCTTATGGCTTTTCGTGCATTGTCCGAGGATTATAAACCCCTTTTTGGGATTTTGCATATCTGCCTATTAAAGTGTGGCTGAAAAATTCCGTGTTGCGTAAAGTAACGTTTTAATTTTAGGTAACACATTATGTAAAAATTTTCAGAGAGGTAAAAAATCCATTAGTGTTTTTAATGCTGATATAAAAATTAGTAGGAAAGTAAAGTTGTAAGATCCGCATAAAATAATGAATATTAATAATGTTAATATTGTATTTAATTATAATTTAATATCTATACGTTTATTTCTTTACATTGACTTTCTTTTATATATTGGGTGCAAAGTATAATGTAACTTTCGAGAAGAAAGGGGCTGCTGCAAATCATATTCAATTCTAAGAATTCAACGAATTCTTAGAAAATGCTAGCAATTTATTGTCGTCCGCAGCTTGTAAGGTCACGATCGTAGGAGTACAATCGAATCTCTCGATCTCACGTGCCGCAACGTACACGTCTCGTTAGTGACAGCGTGACCCTCTTTATAAGCAATAAATCAATTACCGTTTATTACTAAGAGAAATCTACGCTTAATCAAATCATGTTATTTAACCCGGGAGTCACGATAAGACGGTTGTACGATCAGACGGGACGCTCCAAATTTTTTTATTTTGCAGCCACTTAACCGCTCCGTGGGATCGCGCAGTCAATCTTATTCCCGCCGATACGATGAATTATGATTTCTGGCATATTTCAATGTTACATTCATTGAGATTGAGATATTCGTTATTATTTTACAGCATTATGATTGAATAATTTCATCAGTCAGATACGTAGATAAGATAAAAGACACGGGAGATAATGAGGATATATAAATGAAAGTGTTAGCACGTGTATGTCAATTCATTTTATATTGCATTGTTGTAATTCCCCTTATAACTGCCATTTATTTTCGAGAGGTCGTTATCAAACGGCACAGCAATCTTTGTGCTCTTTCCCTGTCGCATCCGGTTTTGCCGTCTATGCATGTACACTTAGCTTTCCGCATAATGAAAAGAGCAGCGTTTGCCTTGCCAGACGTCGGCATTGCAAACGATGCGAATATTGCCTTTAGACACACAACTGGTTGGCTGTATGGCTCTTAGCGGGTTTACCTTTCGGTGAAGGGTTTCTCTAGCAACAAGGGACGTAAAATATATCTGGACATATACTGCAAATGGCTTTGTGCACGATAGATTTTATATGCATTAACGACGACACTGTCGGTTGCTACGGCGAGCGTTGATTTCGAGGTTCCCCTCCCTGCTTGATAATTGCCACACGTGTTACAAATATTTTCTGGAGATATTGTTACGAAACGTCATGACTTGCACCTCCGATAAGAGTTATAAGAACGTATAGAATATGGAATTTGCATAAAAGCGAATAGTGCGCCCGCAAATGTTATTTTGTAATTAATATATTTTTAAGATACGTCATCATTTTGAAATCATTAGAAAATTATTTTAAATACAATCGCTGAGGTGTATACGTGATTTGTTGAGTATAATTTATCATTAGGAATAATAGCAACGTGATCCGCGTAAACCGAAGAGAACTCTGAGCAAACAAGTTTGATTAAACCCTGCGGAACCCTCGGGCTAAATATCGACGAAACGTGTTTCGCGCAAAGCGTTATCGCCGGCGGATCGCCCATCCGGCGAGCTGACGTACGAGTTATTGAACGTATTTATACAGTTTTCGTTGAAAATATCGTTTGATTGTTCTTTTCTTTTTCGCGTGTTAATGAAGCGAGAGTGATTTCGCACAGAACACGTGTACGATTTAAAATAAATTTCTATATACAGTCCAGTCTAAATGTTAAAATAAATATTGAATTTTTATTGCTAAAACAGTAGAGTCGACGCGCTCTTATCTAGTCTAAATGTTAAAACAAATATTGAGTTTGCATTCCTAAAACAATAGAGTCGATGCATTCTACAGCAGCATTCATGTAAGACCAAAAAAAGCATTTCTACACAGAGAAAATTGTATAAAAAATTAGTATGTAGTAGGTATTAGTAGGTACGGTAGTAGCCGCGGACCAGTATTTAAGCTTATAATTTCTCTTATGGTCCGCGGCTACTGCCGTATCATAGTAATTTTTTATATAAAATTTTCTCCGTGTATGCGCCTGGCTATCTCTGAGCTAAAGTACTATCGTGTTAAAAACAATATTATTACGTACATTCGTGTAAGTTAACGTACTGACGATAAGACAAAGCCAAGTTGAATATCCTTAAAGTAACATCGCTGAATGTTATTTCAGTACGTTTGCAATCATCTTCGTGTCAGCGCTTAATGATATAATTAGCAGCAATCACACGACGCTCGTGTGTGTGTGTATATATATATATTGGATCGTTTCATAAGTCCTGTCGTTATTTCATTATCGATTTTCAGTAAAGTATTGTTCTCTACCCGTCAAAACCACGTTGTTTTTTACTTGTTTATTTTGTTTATTAGTATTTAATCTTTAATTGGTGCAAATTTCAAGAAGATTGACACAGTGGTTACAGAATGGCAACCGAAAGCCCAAATTAAGCACATTTGCGACATTGTATGCTTTATGAATTTCGTAAAAAAAAACATAAAGCAACAGTGGCAACTAAAAACATTAATTTGATTTATCCGTAAAGTCTAGATGTAAGGACATGCCAAAGATGGTTCTCGAGGTTTCGGGAAAGAAATTTTGATGATGTCAAAAATGGCATCGAAGACTATTTTAATTCTAAATCACAGAGTTTTTATAAGTTATAGAAAAGTTAGCTTCTCTAAATGGGAAGGCGTGATAGAAAACGAGGGAGAACACTCAAAAAAATATTTCGCTGATGTAGTTAGATTTCTAGATATCGCAACAAGAATGTATCGCTATTTTTCGTATCTGTGAAAACATTGTTTGTCACATATAGAATTTATAGCAGTAATGTTATAGCAATAGCTTCTGAAAAATTTAGGTACCATTGCTAAATGTTATTCATTGCATGATCTAACACGTGATTGATCTTATATAGATAGGCGCTTTAGAGAAACTTTCTTTTTAAAGTTCACAAACAATACAGATATATATTCTGTTTCTGTCATCTAAACTGATTAAGTAATTACATATGCAATATTACAACAGTTGCTAATCATTTATCTGTTTTAGTTAATTTTTACACCTAGAAAATTTTAGCTATTATTGCAAGATTATTTTTTGAGTGAATACATTGATGATTGAACTCATAATGTCTTTTCTAGTAATTATGTCTAAGTTTTTGAATTAAAAAAAAACCGACAAAACTCATGAAATAATCTAATATATACAATTATAATAATAATTATATTTATTATAATATAATTATATATTATTTATATAATTATAATATTATATAATTATACATATATGTACGTATATAGATTTTTTGTATTTTTCGTGCACGACGGTGTGTGTTGGTTGAAAGAACGCATATGGTCGCCAATTTATCTTTCATGACTATTGTTTTTGTATAATGACCGTAATGAACGTGACACGCTCTTGGCGCCAGTGATCGCCATGCGTTGCGAATAATGACCATAACTACTGCTTATTGATGGCTAGATAAGCGTCGTTGTGAAAGTTATACCATTATAATTTCCACGGTACGGCCATCCTCGAGGTTTATCGCGTGTATTTTTCCGCTGTGTATTCCGCAGCGCTTGTGTTATCTTATAACGAGGATGAAAATTAATTTGCCTACAAAGTATCTCATTTTCTTCAATTAATTGCAAGTGGATTTACGGCTTCTTTTTTTAAATGAAAAGTTGATATCGAGCGACTCATTAATGTCGAGGGAGCAGCATATCTAATCTCGCGATTATATCGAGAGCGTATAAGAGACGCGGAGGATATGTAACATTGCGCTTTTTCTTGTTTCAGGACGACAAACTGTCTGGATATCGCCGAGGAAGCAGGATTATTGTTACGGACAGTGTGCACTAATCGGCGCCGAGATTTCCGAATCCGAGATAGCGAATGTCGAACCGGCACATGTCTCGTATATTCCATGGAATTGCTTAGTGCGGTGACTCGCCGACGGTGCCGATTTTCGAGCACGGTCGGCTGATATCTTCGTGCGTGCGCGCACGCGTGTACTCTCAGTCTCGTGGCACGCCCACGAGATTTCTCGTGGTTCGCATGTGGTAAACGAGGGGGTCAACGAAGTCGACAACGACAAACACGCCTCGAACAACGTCGAGGAATGATGTGCGGCGTCTTTGAGCGGCCGTTGCCGAGTCCGTCGCCGCATTGACGCTCGAGCTCTCCGTTCGGACGAACAGGACGGCATCGACGTCGAGAAGGCACAAGCGAAACGCCGACGTTCTCCCCCCAAATTCGTGATAAGCGCAGCGTCCCTTTTCCATCGCGAGAGAAATTTTCGTTCTTCCGAGAACGGGGCGACAATGAAGTCTTCTCCGGTCGCGTGTCACGCGCGTAGATTCTGCGGTGATGCGGCGTTCGATGAGGACGGGTCGAGCAGTGCTGCATTTCTTCGGAGACTCGCTCCACCGCTTACTATTGCCACTGTCTGTCATCATCGGATCACGACGCGGCGTTCGAGGACGCCGACGGCGCGTCGCACCTGCCGACACCGACGTCGACGATGGCGTGCGATCTCTGCGAGCGTCTTCGCGGTCGAACGGATGGACATTTCGATCTAGTGGACGCGATACGGACAGAGGACAGCCGCATGGCCGACTGGCCATCGAGACGAAGACGCGACGAAAATAACTCGTTGACAAGTGATTCGAAAGCAAGTGGTGAAAAGCGCGATAGAACTTCGAGGTGCGATAGAATCCCACTCGATGAATCGTCCGCGAGATGTGCTTCGAACGTCGTGCGGTGGAAGCTCGCGAGCAGGCTCCAAGCCAAATCGACGGAGTGGCGAAGACTCATGTGGATTGTTTTCCTGTTAGCCATGGTATCAATGGTGATCCATCCCGGTCTCGCAGCAGCGCAGAAAAACATAAGCACCGTCAAATCTTTTAACACAGACGGAGGTAAGTGCGGCTTTTTTTCTATGTATCTAAACGAACATCGTTATTATCGATTCACATTTCTTTTTAAAATTCTATAAACTAATTTTAAATTATTGTACACAAGTAATTGGCGCGAATTACTTTTGACGCGAAGAGAAAATGTATAAGTTTATAACGTGAAGCAACAGCTTACTACGGTGTTGGTCGAACTTTTATGTCCGCATAAAGCTTCGAAAATCTTGAAAAGAGTGATGTAGCACGCGAAGGCACACATTGTCAAAGCATGTATAATATACAAAGAGAAATAAAGTCGACGAAACTTCTCCGCTCGGAACTTCGCCATTGTGATGCGCATATTTACTTCATAAAGAATCAGGCTTTTGTTGTTCCCTTTTTCTCCGATTCTGATGACCGATGACCGATGACTAGGTGACACAGTCTGTTAGTTCTGTGAAATGTGTTTGAACCGTTTCTATTTCACTCGCTTCTTCACTCGCTATTAAACATCAATTTACATACCTTGATTTTATGCACATAGCAGATATGAATGACACAATTTCTGTTCGAATGTTGAAAAGATGCCGAGAGATTACATTCACTGATACACAAGCCGCGGCGATGTCGTAACACTTCGCGTACAGAAAGAAAGCAATTCCGACGCGATAATATTGACTTTCCGTGTCACACTCATTACAAAGTGACAAATTAACGACGCGGGCGCGTAGCGCGTACACGTAATACGCGAGAAAGGAATCGCTTGCAAATAATCCGTAAAAATATACGTTTACAACATACACGCTCACAACACGTTGGTGCAACAGTTTTCCCGCGTTACTCGCACGGCGTTTTATATGGTTGCCAATTAGCTGCAAAATCTAAGTAAAGAAATTTCTATGCATACGATTGCGTTTAAATGTGAACAACTGTCCTTTCGAGGAAAATCATAATTTGATAGCAATGAAAATTATCCGAGACGTGACAGCACGGATACACAATATTCCAATTACTGAAATTTCGCGGCGGACTATGTCGGATCGATAAAACGGTTATCAACCCATCGTCTAGACGGTACTAGCAGTCGTAAATTCCTTGCGAATATTTCAGCTCCCTTTTCGCTATGCTCGGTTACATGTTAACTTGTTCGAGTACTTTCAATATTTACTTATCATTTGCACCGACAATTGTTTAGCGTGGAATTATACATCTTCCATGTTTATCGAAGTGTGCTGTTCAAACGGCAGATTAAATTAACATTTACATAATCCGATATCTTGTACAATATATGAAGTAGAATGATCAACGACATCGTGCGCTAATGGCGATTTTTTGTTGAGATTAGCGTAACATTCGTTACCTCGAAATGAGAAACGCCGCAGAACGGCGAGAGAAGATCGGACCGCGGCCGAGCACGTTTTAGAGTGCACCCAAGAGATTATCGCGACTGGTTTTATATTCCGTCCTCCTCAGACTCTACCGTTGATTCCTGGAAGTCTGAGTCGCCTACGCGCAAGCCTGCTTTATAATATAAAGCGGCGGCAGCGGTGGTCTCGACGGCTAAGGTGCATGTCCTCGTAATAGTGGTTTGACATGTGTGCGATTCGCTGAAATTGCGATTATTGATTTCTCAATTGCTATCTTTGCAGTCTGTGAAATGATGTAGAAATTTTTTCTATCACATTTAATTATATTATCGATTGTTCAAAGATCTAATAATATAAAACTTGCACAGAATATATAATATAATCAATTTTTATTTTTATTTTAATTAATCTAGATGAAATACAAATAGAATTTCTTTACTGAATAAGATATTTTAGATATTTTCCTAAATGAATCATTCGTGACAGTAAACTCTTTGTAAAAAAAAAGTATAAACTCGTGATTAAATAATTATATATAAACGTAATGAACGTAAGAATACAGATGAATATGCATATGTACGTAAACTCCGGTTTACTATTTAGTAGAAAGCATATAACAGGTTTCAAAAACCGATGTGGAATGTCCATGGAATGGAATGTTATCTAAAATGACGCTCAAGATAAGTTTACGACAGCTATTGTAACCAGCGATAGACCCATTGTCTTATTTTTGATTACAATAATGCCTATCGATCTCAGCAAATACAGTTGAGTGTAGAATGATAAATACCAATTGACTCTTCTATTTCAAAATCTTCTCGTAACCCAGTCTTGACTCGATAATTTAATGATACATTAACGATACATTAACTCAATACATTAACGTCAAGCTCGCACATAATTGATAAAGTGAAAGAAATAGATGCTTATTTACCTCCGCTGATGACGATAGAAAAAAATCTGACCGAGCGAGTGATTTCAAATAATATCGTGCAAAGTTTTTCTAAAAGCGTTTCATCATCGTCAAATATTCTCGAGATGTGTGCAATGACGCAAATGCCGGACGGCGGATCACGTATATCTAGAGAGTGAAATATACGTAGACATAAAGGTGTGTCAAATTATCCCACCGGTATTTCGTCCGTAAAAATGGTGTCACGCGCTCATTAACCCCGCTAGGAATGTTCCTTAATTCGTACCAATATATTTTGTGGAGTTTCTAATGTTAGGCGTTTTCCCCAAACACGTGTGTTCCGAGAAACTTTATGAATGAACTTTAGTCGCGTTTCACCTGAACACAGTTGCAGTCTTGAAATTCCCATCTGGTATGGCCGCCCGAGGAAAATGCTTTTACTCCATTGTGCTTTTAATTAACACGTAAAATTCATTTTGAACAGCCGACGTGAAAAAAGTCGACGACGCGTTTACTGCGACAAAAGGTCTCTCAGACAATTTACCGTTTTTTACGATTTTCGTTGTGTGTGTGAATGGTTCTTTTTAGACAAAATATTGATTATTTTTTTTATTTATCTGACATCTAACAAATACAAAAGATAAAAAAATATGGCATTTGGTATTGCAATCAGTATTTTGAATTATTCATTTATTTTCTGTATAATTTAGAGTTGTAAAGTTTCCAGTTCTGAGATCGTTTAAGAGTTGCTATTATTCGATATCTTGTTGTAACACGCTATATATGCTGAGAATAAGTATCGAAATAGCACCACTTGAAATTGCTCGTGACCGACGGTTTTGATAAATGATCGCAATTAATATAGCTGATATAAAAGTATATTTCCGGTTAATAATTAAAAGCATTAATTATTAACCATGAATGCTATGAACAATTTACAAAGGTATTGTTCTATTGAATTGTCTGTAATGAACGAACTGTCTATTGTTAATTTTCCTCACAAAGATGAACAATATGATTTTTTTATGAAAAGAATTGCAAATGCCTTTATATGAATTCAAATTGGAGCAGGTAGAAATATAAATGTGCAGCTGAGGCAGGTAGAAAATTAAATCGGCCTGTCAAGAGAGCTTTGTTGGCGAAAGGATCATCCGGTGGGTAGTTCGAAAAATTCCGTTCTGGAGATTTGAAATTAGAAAAAGAATCTCGAAGACGTCCCAAATCCATCTTAAATCAGGGGATTTGTCATAGTGAGACTAATCCACAAAATTTCAGGTTTTGCAGCGGACTTAAAAGTTTCCATTTTTCGACACTTGGCCGCAAAAGGAGAGGCAAAATCAATCAAGTTGACACACGAATTAACGGAGGCAGAAAATGACAGTTTTATGATACAATTTAATAAATCGTCGCTGCGAGATTGCTCGAGTTAACTAGAAAATTTGATGAAAATTTTATGCGGCAAAAAATTCAACTTCTCATCTAAACATGGAAAGAACCGTCGTGCATCGTTTGCTCAATTTTCTCTCGGTTGCTTTTGGCAAAGAGACGATCTAATTCGATGGGGCGCTCTCTCAAGTAGGCAAAAGATTCATGGAGAATGGGGAGCAGGCAAAAACGACCGAGCAGAGAATAGAGAAAACGAAGAGAAAACCGAGAGAAAATGGGATATGTGGAGAGGGGAGGGAAGAAGGCAAATCCCGTTGGGACTGGGCGCGCATACTCCGCCACAAAAAGACGGCCTACTTCGTCGTGAGAACAACAGAGCCGATGGCATTCTTGCGACGCGATGCACGAAATGCCTCTCTCGAGGTCGCCCCTTGCGCCGCGTTATCTCCCTGCTCTCTTCTCCCGCCGGTCTCATCACCGAATTGAGTCGAGGACGCCGTGCAGTTTCCGCGCCGTCTGCTCGATATCGTTAACCGCCTTTAACGCCAGGCAGAAACTGGGCAGAGATTCAGAATAGAGAGTGTAGAAAGGCAAATTGCCGTTATATTCTACTACCATTTTTACGTTTTTTACTAGCTTTTGTTGAAATAAAATAGGCAAATAACTGCAATTTGTCTCTCCATTTTTTATTTTTTTTGCTTTTTTATTCCACATATTTCTCTCACGTGCAACAATTTCGAAAGCGCGACGTAAGGAAGAGGAGCGTAAAAAACGCGCGAACCGGTTCGCTCGTTTTTATTCAAAATCGGACGTTGCCTGTTTGAGGCTAATTAAGGTTTAACGATGTAGAAACAGATGCATTCGTTTTCTTTCTATTATTAATAAATTGCAGTGGGAACGCGGGAATAAAAAGGACCAACTAGATTTGCATTTACGACGTCTTTGCTATAAATATACGCGCATCTGTGCGTTCTTAATACGATGCGAAGAATATATTTATATCGCAACTTCGCATTTTGAAATTTATTTACTTTTAAAAATAGATTCGTAGCAATCATAGACGTAAAGTTATACCGCGACGGCTAAACGGTTATTTAAATTGCTTTGCTTGGAATTTTGCATCTCGTGGCGTTCTAGACTCGTGTCTAGCTGAGCTAATGGGAAATGCGTTACCGGCGACACGGAGGAAGAAGACCGTACGTGAAAGAGAGATGCGAATAGGGTGAAAAGGTCCGGGGAAAGGTCCGGAATCGCGAAGGGATGGAGAAGGTTGATGTAATTAAGGCATGCCAGCTTGAATATTAAGCGGCGTAGCTCTTTACGACGAACTGAGACGGAAGTCGTCCGATGACATAATGACA